GATGGCAGTATCCGTTGGTGGCATTGCTTTGTCCGCAATTAAGCCAGGCATCAGGAAGGAACTGCAGATTTTTTAGAAAGTTGTAGTGCTCTATGAGGGCACTTAACTAGTTGTTTTGACTAACTAGGCAAAGGATCATGTTGAGCTGATAAAGTTGTGGTGCTAGAGTATCATAATTATTAAAATATTCATCTTACATGTTCTCAACACATGTAAAAGAATATTGACCAGAATTATCTAGTTAATAGATGTCTACCAGTAGTATTGATCACATTTTAGTATTCTAGTCAAAACTTACTAATGAATAGCTAATATAGTAATGATACCTTGAACTGGAGGTGGTTTAATGCTTGTTTTTGACCAGCCTTGCTTTCTCAGTTACTATATGCCTTTTGAGACCTGTCTCCATCTAGTTTTTTACTGAGAAAGAAATTGGTATGGTCATTTGCTGTGTAAATTACTCATCTAGGAAGTTCTTCCTGTTCCTGAGCTTGCTTTCTGTTCTTTCTTTGGTTTCCATCTCTAGCTGATGTGTTCTACCTTGGGCCTGAGTTTTTCTTATGCTTTGCTTTTGCATGTGTCAGAGCATAACCCACAGCTGGTTGTAGGAATGAGGTCAAAAACCATCAGTATTTGAGGACTTGGTTCTTACAGATATATTCAGGAATACTTTCTCTTTGTCCAAAGGTCAGTGTGATAAGGATTTTTTCTGTTTGGTAGTTAAGAGTTCAACATGAGGCTGGGCCCGGTGGCTCATGCTTGTAATCCCAGCACTGTGGGAGGCCAAGGCGGGCAGATCACCTGAGGTCAGGAGTTCGAGACCAGCGTGGGCAACATAGTGAAACCCTGTCTGTACCCAAAATACAAAAATTGGCCAGGCATGGTGCTGCATGCCTACAGTCGTACCTATGTGAAAGGCTGAGGCAGGGCAATGGCTGGAGCCCAGGAAGTAAGTAGATGCTGCAGTGAGTCATGATTGCACCACTGCACTCCAGCCTGGGTGACAGAAGGAGACCCTCTCTCAATTAAAAACAAAGGAGTTTAACATGGTATCTACCTGATTGGAAGAAATGCAGGGGCAGTTTCTTTGAAGCAGGCTCTGTTGCACTTAGTGAGCAACTCAGCTTTTGGAAACACGGGCTTATATCAGTTCTTTCTTCAGTGATGCCATTGCTGTTTCCTCTAGTAACAATCATTGTGTTTCAGGTTGATGACATTAATGCTGATAAGAATATCTCTTCTGCACAGATTGTTGGTGAGTAGTATCAGTCTGAAACCTTCAGGTCTTAGTGCTGAATCCTCTGCTGTTTTCTCATTATTGTTCCTCCCTTAGAGACTGTTTCCATGCCCGTGGCATTCTATCTGCATGCTCCGTTTTCATCCCACATGCTAAAATACAACTCAGGATATCCTGCTTCCAAAGATTAAAGATTTTCCCTGGCCCAGAAGCAGCTCCCAAGTTCCCTCTTCCTGTCAGTGTTATCACTATTCTTTTTCAGTCATGCTTGACTTCTTTATATTATTGCTGCTTCAGCTTACATTGTGCCTCAAACAGCTCAGTGAATTTTACAAAGCAAACCTGTTCGTGTAGCTATCAATTAAACAAACACTGGCCAGGTGTGGTGACTCACATTTGTAATCTGAGTACTTGGGGAAGTAGAGGCAGAAGGACCACTTGAGGCCAGGAGTTTGAGACCAGCCTGGGCAACATAGCAAGATCCTGTTTCTACAAAATATTAAAAAAACAGCTGGGCTTAGTGGTGCAGACCTGTGGTCACAGCTACTCAGGAATTCAAGGTTACAGTGAGCTATCACTTGTATTCCAGCCTGGATGACAAAGTGAAGCCCTGTCTTAAAATAAGACACTACCAGGAACCCAGAGGGTTGTGCCTCCTGGGTTCAAGTGATTCCCCTGACTCAGCCTCCCAAGTAGCTGGGACTACAGGTGCACACCACCATACCTTGCTAATTATTGTATTTTTAGTAGAGACATGGTTTCACCGTGTTGGCCAGGCTGGTCTTAAATACCTGGCTAATTGTATTTTTAGTAGAGACATGGTTTCACCATGTTGGCCAGGCTAGTCTTAAATTCCTGACCTCAGGTGATCTACCACGCCTGGCCAGAAGAATACTTTTAAAATTAGAGACAGTTGTTTTATGGAGATATAATTTACATTAAAAAACCCATAGATTTTAAGTATGTGTATGTATATATACACACACATATATATATGCACACACATAGAATCCGACTTTGTGATCAAGGTATACAATGTTATTCTTACCTCACAGTTCCCTTATTTCCAGTCAACTCTGCCCTTTCCTCCAGAGTCAGAGCACTATTTGGATATTTTTTGTTACTTAGTTTAGTTTTCCTCATCCTAGAACTGATGAAAACATAGAGTAGGTGTGTGCTGGGGTGTGATTTTAACAAACTACTACATGGAAGACTGAAAATACAGATCAGACCATTGTATCAAATAACCTGGACATTCATTCCTTTAAAAAAAACTTTGTCCCCAATCCCTAAAGAGTGTTGGTTCTGAAGGAAGCAGTGTTCTAGCAGAATCCTATTCCACTCCTTGGACTTGGTTGGTAAAAGAGCAGACCTTATGAAAGGGCCACTCCCTTTAGGTGATTGCTCTGTGGATATAGCCCCATGTATCCCACTTTTTTCCACCACAGGAAAGTAAAACAGATAGGATTGAACCCTAATTAGAAAATGTAGATGTTTGTTAGCCTTCAGAATTAGAATTTTTGTAGCCAGGTGTGGTGGTTCACACCTGTAATCCCAGCACTTCGGGAGGCTGAGGTGCGTGGATCACTTAAGGAGTTGAAGACCAGTCTGGCCAACATGGTGAAACCCCATGTCTATTAAAAATCCAAAAATTAGCCAGGTGTGGTGGTGCCTGGCTGTAGTCCCAGCTACTCAACCCGGGAGGTGGAGGTTGCTGTGAGCCGATATCATGCCACTGCACTCCAGCCTGGGCAACAGAGACTCCCTAAAAAAATTTTTTTTTAAACTAGGGTTTTCTCCTGTATTTTGATCATTTTGTTTTTACTACGAAAGGGGATCTGGGACATTTCTTTGGCGTTTGTAACATTGTGCTTCTTGCCCTAATTGAATCAGGTCCTGGACCCAAGCCAGAAGCCTCTGCAAAGCTTCCTTCCAGACCTGTGGATCACTATGACAACTTTGTCCTACCAGAATTGCCGTCTGTGCCAGACACACTACCAACTGCGTCTGCTGGTGCCAGCACCTCAGCCTCTGAAGACATTGACTTTGATGATCTTTCCCGGAGGTTTGAAGAGCTGAAAAAGAAAACATAGGTCTCTTAAACCAGGCAACTTTCACATTTTGGGAGTTGAGACTGAGCAATCTCTCTCCTTGTAACAAAGAATCTCCATGAAATTCCGTTTCATCTGTTAACGTCACTGAGCACAACACTCCTCCTCTGGGTTCTCTTCCTGCTCCTCCAGATTCTGCTGCTTTCCAGTTCTCTGTTGATTCTAACAACTGGAGACTGAGGCCGGAGCAGCTGGCTCCTGGCAGCTGTGCTTCTAGGTTTCAGAGTGATCCCAGGTTTCTTCCTGGCCCGTCCCACGGTCCCTCCACGGGAGCATGAGAGGATGGGAAGCACTGTGGAGAGACCACCAAAGATGGCTGGACAGTGGGAGAGAGCACCTCATGAAATGTCCCAGCCTCGTGTTGAGGTTCCAGACTTAGAAACAAACCCCTCTGTACAGGGGGACTGTGGTGAGTGAGAATCAAGGCCACGGTGTGTGTTTTCTCACACTCTAATGCGACTGGGAGAGAGAAAATGACTCAGGACGCCATTGTAACGGTTCCTGGAAGCTGGGCCCTCTCATTGGCATATACACTACTCCTCGCCACAGGGCACTGTCCCACCAGGATCCAGTTGCAAAGTTTGTCTCAACAATTGAAGGCCTCGCTTAGTTGTACTGGATTCTCAGGGAGCCCTCTGTGGCCTTTTGCTTTGAGTGCTGTATTTCCCTTTTACCAGAGGGCAGCACTGTGGAAATTCCTGTTTTTCCCATAGCATATTCTGTTGGATTGCATTACTGGTAAAGAAAGGACAGGCTGCCATTCAAGTCTAGGGTAGGCTTCCAGCTGCCTTAATAGAAGTACTCAAGTTTTTTGGGTAGTGAGCTGGAAAGCCTACAGGAAAAGAGGGGTACCTGTTTTCATTTGAAAACTAATTCATGGAACCTTTAAAGTTAATCTCAGATAAATTTTTGGTGCCCATGCAGCTGTAGTTGTTCACTGCTTTCCTGGATGGGATTCTCATGTTGTAACTTCTGTACTCCTTTGGCTCATAGCTAAGGCCATTCTTCCCCACAGGGGTGGCTTTGGGATTGGATATGGCTTTCGCTTCTGTGTAGTATACCTGTACATACCTGTTTCAAGCAGCCTTTCTTTAATGTTTTCAGTTGGTTTGTATTCTGTAGCTCAGTAGCTAATAAAGATCCTGTGTCCTGCTTTCTCTGTTTGCTCAGATGATGAAGTAGAAAGCTGGAGTTCAGTGGAGAATATTTTAACCAAGTGATGCATGTTAACCAGCCCTTAACTTCAGGATTCCTGGAGCAGTGCAGGGCTCATTTTGGTCTCTGTATTTAGATAGCCCAGATAGCATCTGTGAATTTGGTCCTCCTCAGTGACAGGGCTCTGCATCTGCCATGCCTCATCCTTGTATATTTATTTTTAGTAAGTTGCAGTGAGCTCACTTCTGACTCCTCCGTTTCCCAATCCCTCCTGGGCCATGGGTGGTGAGTGTTCTGTTACTTGGTGCTTGGCAGCTGAGCTGGTTTGTCTGGTAGTATTCTTACGGTGTTAATCCTATCTTGACAGTGCCAAGATCCGTAAGAACTTGGGACCAAGGGTATTCCAATTTCTCACTAACTTACAGAATTAAAAACAAAGTATATTACTATTGTAAAGTCATGCCATGCAAAGATAAGTAGTAATATGCTAAAAAATACTAAGCCAAGTAGGAGAAAACAGGATTAAGGTAGTTCGTCTTCTAAAACTTCAGTGTCAATGCCCATTGATGTCGTAGCTGCTTGCTCAGATGACGTTTTTTGGGGCTGACGGATTCCTAACAAATTTGAGAGCTTCAGTAGCAGCATATCTATTAGTGCAACTTGTCTCTGAGTGTTTGAAGACAAAAAGAGAAATGTGAGAAAACAAATTACTAATACCGGAGTAAAAATGTACCAAAGATTTTTAAAAAATTAGTTAATGTATAGTAAAGATACTATTTCTTTAATAATTTACAGTCAGGCATTGGAGTGTTTCCACTATCTAATTAATGGCTGAGACCCAGCTATTTATAGGACAGTGGCTATGGAACATTACACAGTCTTATAAATTGGGTTTCCTGGGAATATAGCTGGCAGAGCTTCTGAAATAAAAGTAATATGATTCTGTGCATTATAAATAAAGTCTAAGGGGCAATTACAGTGGAGTTTTCCCAGTGACATAACAGCATGCTAGTTTATCTTTTAGTTACCTACCTTAAGTGACTTTCTTTCTTTTCCAAAGGCCATTAGAATGGCAGAAACAAAAAGATTAATTATCACAAGTACCAACAAGATGACACTGGTGAGGACCAGAAAGGTGCCCAGGACTGGGTCTAAAGCGATAACCTGGGAAGACAATAAACACTTGCAGTGACTGACCGTTTAGTTTCAACTTTACAAACAAGCTATATGCTAAAGTTTGGGATCTTTTCAGAAGAAAAGCTTATCTGATGAAAACATAGGGAGAGAGGCAAAAAGATACTCAGAAGGAATTTTTTTTTTTTTTTTTTTTTTTTTTTTGGAGTCTGTTGCCCAGGTTGGAGTGCAGTGGTGTGATCTCAGCTCACTGCAACCTCCGCTTCCTGAGTTCAAGAGATTCTCCTGCCTCAGCCTCCCAAGTAGCTGGGATTACAGGCGCGTGCCACCACACCCATCTGATTTTTAATAGAGACAGGGTTTTACCACATTAGACTAGTCTCGAACTCCTGACCTGGTGATCCACCCGCCTCAGCTCCCAAAGTGCTGAGATTACAGGCATGAGCCACCACACCCAGGAGAAAATACTTATAAACAAACAGAGGAGCAGGAATGACTGATTTTAAGGAGATAAGATAATTTTGACATCAGGGCATTCACAAGGAGAGAACAGGTGAGTTGCAGTGGAATTGGAAATGATTCAAATGTCACATCAGTTTTGGCAATTCCAGAAAATACATCTAATCACTGAATTTAAAAAGGGTTACGTACACTGAAAGAATAAATGCATACCAGAAGTGAGAATGCAAACTGTCTCTGCCATATCAAGAAACCACAACTCTAACAGGAGCATTCCAATAAAAGTTAATAGGTTGGCCACAGAAAACTGGCTTTTTGGTACTTTTCCCATTGTCATTTTTAAAGGTGTAAGTACTGAGTTCTGTCATTCTTTAGTTTTCTGCATAAATAAACATCAAGTTCTGGGCTTACTAGAATGGTTGCCATAACAAAATTTTTAAAAATTCAGGTGTTCTTTATCAACAAATGGTGTTTATTTTCCCTTGGTACTGGCCCATTCACTGTTGCCACTAGGGCACTGTTTATGATAATCAGCCCCTTTCAGGATATTTTTAAACACTCTCCTGATGGAAATCTTTATGACAAAATATTTTCAAGCACCAAACTGTTACCCACATAAAAATGCTTATAAAAATTTCAGGTCAACCAGATAATGTGGGCAAGCTCTTGAGTTTGTGATATAAGACTTTTTTCCAATAAGTTTATTTTTATGGTGTACAATTACTTAAAAGCAGAAAAGTTGTTTTTTTTCCCCAATCAAAAAGCAGGTATCAGCAAAAGTTTGTTATTCTGATTGTAACTTCCTTCACTGCTTTGGATACAAAGTGCTCCAGCGGTGAAGGCTCATCCCCTAGTTATTGGAGCTAGGACCACAACAGAACAGCCCAGTCAGTGAAAATAGCAGTTACAGTTGTCTGTCAGTATCTGAGAGACATTGGCTCCAGGGCCTCCACAGGTACCAAAATTTGAGGATGCTTAAGTCCCTTATTCTTATTTTTTATGTATTGCAAGCTTCCCTAAAGGTTAAGAAAGTGTTCCCCTCACCCAATCCTTTAAAAAAATTTTTTTAGAGGCAGAGTCTCCCTGTGTCACCCAGGCTGGAGTACAGTGGTACGATCTCGGCTTACTGCAACCTCCACCTCCCAGGGTCAACCAGTTCTCCTGCCTCAGCCTCCTGAGTGGCTGGGATTACAGGTTCCCACCACCATGCCCAGCTAATTTTTGTATTTTAGTAGAGATGGGGTTTTACCATTTTGGCCAGGCTGGTCTTGAATTCCAGTGATCTGCCCCGCCTCGGCCTCCCAAAGTGCTGGGATTACAGGTATAAGCCACTGTGCCTGGCTTAGAAAGTCCCTTTTTAAAAATGACACAGTATTTGCATAAACCCTATATACATCTCTCCTGTACTTTAGATTACCTCTAGTAGCTAATGCAGTGTAAATGCTACATAGAATAGTTATACCGGTTTGTGGGTTTTTTGTTTGTTTTGTGGGAGACGGTCTCGCTCAGAGAGCAGTAGCACGATCATAGCTCTCTGCAGCCTCACTCCTGGGCTAGCCTCCTGAGTGGCTGAGACTATAGAGTGTCCCACCACACCTGGCTAATTTTTATTTTTTATTTTTTGTAGAGACAAAGTCTCACTATGTTGCCCAGGCTGGTCTGAAATTCTTGGCCTTATGCAGTCCTCCCCCTTGGCCCCTCACGGCTTGAGCTAACTCACCCTGCCCTGTTAATGCACTTTAAAAAGGCCATTGAGAAACACCGAATCATGTTAATCTGGCCAAGCACAACAGCACAAGGTTCGGCCCAGTGTTTTTTGCTAATAAGGACACAAGAAGTGAGGAAGGAAGGACTAAGTGCTTAGGAAAGGGCAGATTTCTGAAAGCAAAAGCCATGTATACACTGTATGTGTAGGCAGTACCATGAAGCAAAAGAGCAAAGGACTGAAATTTCCCACCTTTCCAGTGTGCAGTGTACAGTAGGAGGCTGTTTTCATAAGGAGCACCCCCCCCAACTCTCCTTGTTCAATATATTAAATAGAATTCTGTGGAGAAACTAATTTTTTTTTTTTTTTTTTTTTTTTTTTTTTTTTTT